GACATTACCAATTACAATCTAAATATATCAAGTCTCAAGAGTTAACCAAATTAAATTCGTCACGTTATTAAATTAAAATTATAATTAAACATTTATCTTTCTAATTTCTTTATTAAAGAATCACATTATCCTTTTTCTTTCTCTTTAAAAATATATTTATAACATAATTAAAAATAATTGTAACATTCTTTATTATTTTTTTTCTTCATTTTTCCCCCTCTCTCCTCGATAACACATATCCTCTGAGGAAAGTTCAGTGTGACTCAGAAGACTAATGCGTGATCAATATATCGAACCAATAGTTTGGTAGTGGGCTAATAACGACGTTAGTGAATGACCTATTTAGAACGAATTTACTAAAGTATAACCTTCTTACTCCATTCTATACATGTTCTGTAATGACGTATGAATGTAAACTTACCGATAGAACTATCTCTGGTTCCTCCCCGTATTGAATTGTTTGATATTTATCGTACTTAGCTGGTGGTGGTTCACCTTTTGTCATCTTTGGGCTCGCATCTGCATCACTGATTGAATCTCTTGTAGTGATTTCGGATCTTTCTGAAAATAATAAAAAAATGCACGCAAACCTATCAGTACAAAGAAACATGTGTACAATTTCTTTATTTTTTTTTATGTTTACTCGACTACTGGATGTGGAAATATTTATGTCTACTGGGACATTTGCCAACGTCTCTGAGTGATTGAGACAAATAAAGAGAAAGGAAATTGAAGTCTGTAGTCCTCTATAAGCAATAAGAATCTACTATAGATTAAGCTTCACTAGTCAGTGGTTGATTTTAAAAATTGTTTTGAAGATTTTTTTATATTTTTATTTTTTGATCTGATAATATTGATTTTTTACCTTCCAGTTACATACTTTTAACGATTTTTTTTCTTCTGCTTCCTAGAAAATTGCCTCTCGTACTTATTCTCGAATTTACTTTACTTTATTAAACTTCTACTAACAAATAAATTAACTTTAATTAAAAGTTAAAAATGAAGAAAAAATTAATCCATTCCCCGTAGAATATATTTTGATTTGCGATAATTACTGAATTGTTAACTGGAATAAATTCTAAATGCAAATTTACAACAATTGCGTTAACAAAACTTAAATTGTGTTACATTTAAAGCAGACTTTATTGAAATATATAATTTTTGAGGCTGTTAACAATTATTAATTTAGAGTAATTATAACGAATAAAGTTCATAATTAGTTAAAAGATAATCTAAAAAAATACAGAATTTGTTTGATATTAAAAAAAATTAATTTTAAACGCAGTTCATCCTTTGGGAAATGAAGAGAACTTAAAAGATGTTCTTAACAAAGAATTTAAAAAAAAATGTAATTTACTTATAAATACACAAGTAAAATAATTACAGAAAACAAAGAGATTGGCTTTATGCTGTTGAGAATGAAATCCCCAAAGGACTAAGTAGAGATCCATTCTTAATCCATTCACCATTGTGTAATTTGTCACTGTATTTAATTTTGCTATTCTTAACCGTATAATTCTTCTTGTTTTAGAAGTTATTTTAATTTTAATTTTATCATTAATTCTTATTTTTATTCTTTATTCTTTATAAATTTTATAAATTCAATTAAAATTTTCAAATTTTTATCTAATAAAAAACACATTATTTCTTACTCTCCTCTACTCGCAAACAATAATTTTTTTCCTTCTTCTCTCAATCTATAAATGTTCGTTGTTTTGTTTCTCATTAAAATTTTCTGTTAGTTTAATATGTTAGTGAAGTGTTACCGCCTCAGGATGTTGTACAATGTGAATGATATCGTTGTAAAAATTTCTTCGCGTATTCGTCTTTTGTTCATCGTGTATCACTGGAAAACATGGAAGTTCTCTACCAAAAGTTAATAAATCTGTCGCTATAAATTATTTACGATATTCTCATTATCAGCAGTCTAGAGTTTAGTAGATTTTTAAATTTATGAGAAAAGAAACATGGCTGATTAAAGGGTATTGCGAAAGGATCATAAAATCGGTCGTAGTTAATAGTCCGTATATTCTTATTGCGTAGACTGAGAAATAAAATTTTTATAAGACATTGTATAGTCAATTGCTGAAGGAAATAATAAAAATCTTTGTCATAGAAAATTTCATTTACTTCGATATCGACTCGTCGATGAAGAAATTTGCAGACGTGCTTGTTTCACTTGTTAAAAATTGTGTTTATGCGACGAAACTTACGCCAAAGTATTATTTAAATTCGGCATACTCTTACTTTCGTATAGTAGCATGCTTTGTGTAAAATATACTAAATCCTGCTAGATAAAATATAGGAGGATGCTCGCAACAACGCTTAGTGAAGATTATGTTGCTACCATATGGACTCAAAGTTTAAAACTTTTTCAGAAACTGGCCATAAATTTTAGGAGCCACTGGTAAATAGGATGCTAAAAACTAACAGAAGCATCGCGGAATGTAATTCACTAAGAAAAAAAAAGAAGAAAAAACAGCGTAGAAAATGAGCAGTCAGAAATAATTGCGATAAGTCAATTAAGTAAAAGAATGGATGAAATTTATTTAAATAGGAGATTATAAAGTACTTTAAAAGTTTAAAGATAATCACCTTTTACTTAATAATTACGTGGAGAATAAATAAAGTTTTAACTATTAGTGNAAAAAAAAACAAACAAAATACAGAATAAATTTTTATTTTTATCGTTTTAAATATCGATTGAGGTGATAATGAAACAAAGAGATAAGATAAAATTCGTAAGGACAATCATAAAATTGAAATCTTATCTAACCATATACATATATTCATTGTCATTAAAGAACTGAAGGAAATATATAAAAAAAAAGAAAAGAATGTAATTATGGATCATGATACATAGCCAGTTTCTGACCAGCATTTATCGACTGAAGGGAGAATATATGAATAAAAAATAATAATAGTAAAAAAAATAAAAAAAAGAAAGATTATGATTGCTCATAGTAATGTTTAGTCAGACTGTAATCAAATATCAAGACATAAATACGATAAACTGAAGAAAATATGTATTAAAGGATATCATGGAGAAACAAGATACGAAACAATATTATATTAACGAGGTCATGCACTGTTGTTTATTTTATATTCGTTGCAGATACTTGATAAAGGTTTAATGAATATTTATGTAGTATATAAAATAGATTTAATAAATATTTAAAACTCAACAATTTTTCAGAGAGATTGTCTAATTTAAAATATTTGAAAATCTTCTAAATATATATATATATATATATTGATTTTAAAACAATTTCAATTTTAAATGTGTACATATTTGTAATAATATTTGAAACTCTAATTATTCGAATTAGTTAAATGAGACTAATTTAATTATTTTATTAAATTAATTTTAAAATAATTATGCAAATTGTATATACAAGATTTTAAGATTTTGATTAAAGATGATATTAAAATATATCAATTTTTCTTGGACGAAATGAGAAAAATTTGTTGAAATTTTCATCCGCGTAGAATTATCGATTAATCGAATCTTTTTTAGATAATATCAAAATTATATTTAATTATAGGCCTATATTTATATAAAATTTTTATTCCTTTTCTTATAAATAATTATATTAAATATCTTAATTTGTATTTATATACATTTTAATTAACAATTTT